TCAGGAATGGAAAGCAGATTGAATTGGCCCTGTGGGTGATGAGGTTATAAAACAAATGACACTGACTTGGCCCCAGAACAAGGAACCAGGACCCATCAAAGGGGGACCATGTCTCTAGCAAGATAAGACACCTCTTCTTATCTTGCTAGAAGATGAGGATGGAAGATTATTCCCAAAATTTAAGAGAAGAGCTTCTAGCTAGGAATGCTGGTACCAGATCCAAGCTGACCACTGATTCACTTAGCCAACATTTGAGTCTGTACCGTGAGCCAGGAACTGTGCCCTGTGCTGGTCTAGGGTGGTAAAGAGGACAAACAAAGTCCTTGCTCTCTGGAAGCTCAAATTCTAAGGTGAGGGGTGGGGTAACAGATAAATAAGCAAACATACAAACAAACACTCAAGGTAAATTCAGATAAATTTAAAAATGATACAAAGTCAACAAAACAAAGAACAATGATAGAAAGTGATGGGGAAGGGTAAGCCTCGGGAGCCTGGATAAGGCAGACAGAAAGAGCAGGGAAGTCCTCGAAGGAAGGTATCTTTGAGCTGAAATCTGAAAAATGAGAAGGAGCTAGATGTGGGCTGACATGACTTCAGAGCTTTCTAGGCAGAAGGCACAGCAAGTGCGAATACCCCAGGTCAAGAGCAGGCTTGGCATGTTCCAGGAGCAGAAAGAAGAGAGTCGTTGTGCCACCCTATGAGCAAAGAAAAGAGCGGCAGTAGGACAGAGGGGAGGCCAGATGCCCTTAGGGGCCATCATGAACTGTTTAGACTTCATTGTGCAAGGATGGGCAACCATTAGGAGCGTGGAAAGACTACTTGTTGTCTCTCCCTGCCCCCACCCATCCAGTCTCTCCTTTTTTTTTCCATTCTAGAATTTTTGAGTTTTAGCAAGCAAATGCCCACACAATTAGAAGGTCAATTTTCCAGTCTTTTTTGCATATATATGTGGCCATAGGATAAAGCTCAATGAGATGTGTGCAGAAGTAATGTACGCAACTTCTGGACCTTGTTCTTAAAACGTTTGGGCATCTGCTCTACACTCTTTTCCTCATCTTGGTGGTTGCTGCATGCATCTGACTACAGAGCCAGCTTTGACTTTGGAGAGTCAGTAGCATAGACTAGCACCTTATGATATGGTGAGCACCAAAACAGAAGGAATCTGAGTCCCTTCATGGCTGTATACAACTTGACCACCTGCCTGCCCTGAATCATCTGCTTTCCTTTGCCTAAGCTGTTGCATTTTAGGTTTCTTTGTTATATCAACTCAGCCTGCATCCTAACTGATACAGGATGTTTCAGGTAGGAAGGTGACATGATCTAATTTACATTTCAAAGAGATCAATCTAGCTGCCATGTAGATAATGTATTGGGAGGGGAGAGAGAACAAAGTAGATGCAAGGAGGCCAGAGGCTAGCTCAGAAGCCATTGCAGTAAACCAAACTAAATGCACTGATGGCTTAGGGTAGCCACTCTGAAAGTAAAGAGAAGTGAATCCACTTAGGATCAATTTTGGAGGTAGAACCAAAAGGTTTTGAGGAGGGATTGGATGATTGGGAGAGAGGTTGAGAAAAGAATAATTAAGATAATTCCTAGTTTGGGATCCTTTGGTGATTTCCCCAGAAATCTAGATGGGATCTGAAGACAATAGGAGGTGGACTCCATGGTTGGAGGTTGGGACATCTCTCACATAATAAGCTACCTATGGGATGGCAGACTCAGAGGTGATACATACTGTAATCATCGGTCTAATTGTCTTCTGTATGGGCACAGATCTCATGCCCCACATTTGAGTCGAAAATACTTACATTCTTTTTAGAAACCAACTCTGACTAGTTTAAGACATAAAAATAATTTGCTGGAAGGATTGACACAGCTCATAGACCCCAAGTACAGCCAGATCTTTAAAAAGAACTAGAACCGAGGACCAAAAAGATGACAGGAACCACCAATACTCTTAGCTCCTTGTCTCTGAACAGAACACTTTTTTCACTTTTCCACAGAGATGACGAGTGATGGTATCTTCAAGGATTCTGAGTTTATTTTACTTCTGGCAAAAAAACTATACCAATCTAGACACCCTTAACCCCCTGGGAGGAGGAATTTAACCAGCTTTTCTTGGGTCAGGATCCAATCAGCTATAGCCAGGAGGATGCAACCAAATAGTACAAACATGGCTGCCTCTGCCCATCTACCAGTAAAGGTCACGGAGAAAGGTGTCTGTGTGAGCTGGGCGGACACCCCCACCCCAGGCTTCTAACAAGGTCCATATTGACTAAGAATATCAATTTCATGAAGATACAGCACCGTAGGATTCAAATGGCCCTTTAGAATGATCTATCTCTAGTACAGAGTTAAATGGAAACCATCTTGAGCTGATAAATATCTTTCTAATTTTCAGAGATATCTTGCACGGAAGATTTCATAGCTTTCCATGGGAACGATTGGCGGGGACACAGAATTCTCACAAACTCTTTCTTCCTGTTTGTCACCTTTGCACTTGCCACAGCATTTGAAAAGCTCCTCTTGTTCTCTCCTCGTTCAGAAGGGGGCCATCTGGGCACCCATTCGATCTGTCAGAATAACCCTCCCTGATGGTACACCTCCGGGAAGGCTGGACTGGAGTAAATATGGAATTCTGTAGCTAACTGACCTCGATGTGACCCTGCAGTCTCAAAAGTTGTCTAAAGTATCCCTGAACGAACCACAAGGCTTTGGATCTTAGATTTGCTTTTTCTACAAGCATCTATTCTGCAAATAAATAATCCCATCTTTCTCTTCCCCTTGCCCACTCTCAAACACTCATTCTTTATTCTCATCCAGGGCTTCCTCTCCCCACTTCTCTGAATAAAGTTTAAAATTGAGCTATAAGAACAGATATAGCAGCTCTTTATCTGTCAGAGAAAGATTAGCTAAGGATAGTTATGGGCCCCAGGCAAAGATAGGGATGCAGTCTGCCTCTTAAAGTCTTGATTGGGAGGATTTTATTGTTATTATAAAGATGCACTTTCTTTTAAAAGTTTAGAGCTGGATTTTTTTCCTTCTTTTAGTCACAGGAGGTCATGCACTTTTTTTTTTTTTTATTAGATACTTCTTATTTTTAAGGCTGAGGCTTAACAGCATGCTCAGTAAGGACTATTGGAACTGAACGGGGCCCCCGAGGAAAGCCTCACCTCCATCTATGGGGCTGAGGGGACACACATTATGAGCTCCGTGCCTCCTGGTAGTATGTGCGGGTCACAGCCCTTTCACCACAGAGCAAGCCCATGGCAGGGGCTGAAATATACTGTTTCCAAACAGCAAGGCAATGAAAAAATGACCTTTTGCTAGCCTTTCTACCTCATGATTTTTTTTGACTTTTTAAAAATTATGCAAACTAATGATTATGATCAAATAGATATGACGTATAAAAAGCGCTCTAAAAATATAATCTAATTACTTTTATGGGTTTTAAATTTTCATACCAGAGTTTCTGTTCATGGTGTTCGGAACCAGTCACCATCATCCCTACTGTCACTTAACCAATAACTATCATGAGCTCTTGCTTTTTCTTTCTCATGCTTTTATTGTGGTAAAATATGCATAACATAAAATTTATCAGTTTATTTTTTATTTATTTGTTTTTGAGATGGAGTTTCACTCTTTCCCAGGCTGGAGTGCAGTGGCGCAATCTTGGCTCACTGCAACCTCTGCCTCCTGGGTTCAAGTGATTCTCATGCTTCAGTCTCCCGAGTAGCTGCGATTACAGATGTACCTCACCACACCTGGCTAATTTTTGTGTTTTTAGTAGAGACAAGGTTTCGCCACATTGGCCAGGCTGGTCTCGAACTCCTGATCTCATGATCCGTCCGCCTCAGCCTCCTTTAGTGCTGGGATTACAGGTGTGAGCCACTACGCCCGGCGATTTTATTTTTTAAGTGTATACTTGGGTGGCATTAAATACATTCACGCTGTTGTGCAACCATCACCCCATCCATCCCCCCAAACAGAAACACTGTATCCATTAAACACAAACTCCCTTTCCCTCTTCCCCCAGCACCTGGTAACCCCTATTCTACTTTGAGTCTGTATGAATTTGCCTATTCTAGGTGCCTTATACTAATAAAGCATCTACTTTTTATTCCACTCTCCCAATCAGGCACTGTGCCTTGATACCCTGCCGTGCAGACTGACCACCAGGCTTCCCCACACTCATACAGAGGCCAGAGACCAGCCATTCTAAGTTGTGGTCTCTCAGCAGGAAGACCACTGTCTGTGCCCACTATCTTATTTAAGCCTTATAACCTTGCGAGCTAAAGATTACTATCCCCCACTTTATAGCTGCAGAAAATAAAACTCCCACAGATTAGAGCATAATGCTGGTAAGCGGCAAATCCAGACTCAACTCAGGCCGAATACCAATTCCTGCTCTCTTAACCCGTATGTGGTCCTCCCTTCCCCACTGACTATTGAAGTCGTACATCTGCCAACTTCTTGGCAACTCAGAATAGCTGTCCTCTAGATTCTTGCCAAGGATTGAAATCATGACCTCTATGTTGTCCTATGTTTACACAAAACCCCAGGTTGGAAGGCACGTGACCTCTGTAGGAGGTAGGTGCACTTCACCGAGAGGCAGTGGTTAAGCACCCAGGCTCTGGGGCCAGGCTGCTTGACCTCAGCAGCTGAGCGAACTTAGCCAAGTTACTTAACCTTCATGACTCACTTTCTACTTCTGTAAATGGAAATGATAATTGGATAATGACAGGGATGATAAGACCAATTTTACTGAGTTCTTATGATGATAAATTAATGTACATAGAGTACTAAGACCACTGCCTAGTGCTTAGAAAACATTATGAATGTGACAATTCTTAAGACTTGTCATCCTTTTCTTTTTTCCTTTTTCTTTCTTTCTTTTCTTTTTCTTTTTAGAGACAGGGTCTTGCTCTGTGGTCCAGGCTGGAGGGCCAGTGGCACGATCATAATTCACTGTAACCTTGAACTCTGGGGCTCCAGTGATCCTCCCACCTCAGCCTCCAAAAGCATTAAGATTACAAGCATGAGCCACCACACCTAGTCTGTCATCCATTTTTATAGCTAACTGACTCTTACATCCTTTTAGTCACAGATTCTTCAAAGTCAAGTTATGCAGCTCTGTATCAGTGACAATACTTTCTGATGCAAGTCATGAAAACATGATTCACATTGGCTTAAGTTCCATTAAAATATCTGGAAATAACTGAAATCTAGATGTACAGCAGACTCCAGACATGCTACAATCAGCAGTGAATGGTGTCATCAACAACTTACTTCTCTGTTACTCCATTCTGCAATCCCAGCATCAGCAGCATCTTAAGGCTGGCTTGTGGGGGCAAGACAGCTTCCAGTGGTAACCAGAGCTGTGTGCTTCCTGTGCAGATCTAGAAAGAGACAGAGCATAAACAAGCTTCACCGTACAATAGTTGAGCCAACTCGTGTGTTATGCCCACCAATGGGCCTCTAGCAGTTACCAGGGATATGCCATCAAGAGTTGTTTTTGGAGCTGGAGCCGGAGTGGAGCCCTATCCAAAATCAGACAGGAAGAACAGCAACAGCCTCAAATCTCTGTACCCCAAAATGCAACATACAAACTTGGCAGATAATTCCAGAAGTTTCACAGTCTGCAGATTAAGACCCTGTAGAAGATATTTCAAACATTACCCATAGAAGAAGTCAGACTCTTAGGAAGTTGTATATGTGAAATACATTGTTTCAACCCCTCTTAGAATCACCATGACTGAACTGCATGTCAGTATCATGCCATGGGTCTCTTCTTCACCCATAATAGTGTTAGGAAACAAGCTTGCTTCTCTTGAGTAATTCATTCAATTTTATTTTATAGACAATGTAAAACATATTTAAACCATATTTTCATCTCCCCTTGGGCACCTTAGGTTCATAGCTTACCTTAAGGAAAAGGTAGAATTAATTTTTCCGTGCTTACCCTGTACTTTGTTTTATTATTTTCCTGTTAATAACTTCCCTTCCTCCTAAGTCATTACTTTGTATTGCATGTAGCTTAATATGCAATGTATGGAAAAATATATGTATACTCAATGTCAATCCCAGCATTAATAGTTAATTTTTAAAAGCAAACAGATATAAATGTTCAGTTAAGGAGACAATTGAGTAAATTATGCATATTCGTAAAATTAAAGACATTGCCATTAAGAATCATGTTTACAGCACTGAAGAAGAGATGAAAAGTGATACAGAAATTTTAAGAATTTGGAAGATCGGGAAAGTAGATATCTAAAAAAAAAAAAAAAACAATAAATGGACTGATGTCTCATCAGAAAAAACAGAGCCTAGATACAGTGGAATGCTGTCCTCAAGGTAAGCAGGAATATAATTGTCAACAAGGAATTGTATACCTAGAGAAACCACGATTCAAGAGTGAGGGCAACATAAAGCAAAGAGAGTTTATCACTCACAAATCATTGCCAAAAGAACTACTGAAGAGTTATTTATTTAGAAATAAATTGAACCTAGAAAACAGAAGTGGAACACATAAAACGCTGTGGAGCAAATAAATCGGTAAACACCAGGGGAAGTCCAAATAAGTATCAACTGTAGAAAAGAAGGAAAAACAAAACTAAAACTCTATGCATAATAAAATGACTAATTTTAGGGCATTTAAAAACAAAACAGAACCAAAATTTTAGATAATGACATAGATCATAAGTGAGAGTCACCAGTATTAAAACATTCTAAGGCCCTGGTATTGTTCCACAGAGGGTAGATGTGTTGATTTAATGTTAGATTTCTTAAATCAATATGTAGGCTAAAAAATTCAAGGGTAACCACTAAAAGAATAACAATTGAATACGTACTTCTAAAAATATAAATATTCAAAATAAATAAAATTATATTAAATTCATCCACCAGAAACAGACATTATGAAACTGTTTTGTAAAAATATGCCTTATCTTCCTAGTGAATTTTTCTTTTTATCATTATTTCATGCTTTATCTTTACCCCTACAAATTATTTTTGTCTTAAAACTTGTTTGTCTTTTATAAATATAAATTCCAGTGTCTTGAGTCAACCATTTTTAACATGTTAGAATGTTCCCTAATGACCTTAAAGAAATTACGTAAATATGTCACATTTTTTCCAGAAAGGCTTTGATTTAGAAGGATGCCCATTTTAATATGTGCATAATAGTATATTCATAATATAATATGTGCATGATATTTATTCATTACCTTTTGATTTCTAGGCTTCCTATGCATTCACATGCATATTCAATTATTAACATGCATTTATCCTCCTAGACAGGGGCAACATGTGTCGAAAGTAGAATATTCTCATTAGATTTTTGGTGGATGCTTGTCATCAAGTTTTGAAAAATATTTTTCATTTATAGTTGGTGAACAGTTTTTATTATGAATAAGTCTTCAATTTTACACTTTTAAAATATTAGAAGCGTTACAGGATACCCTGTCCTTTGTCCCAGGTTCTATTCAACATTGTTCTACAGGAGATCTTATCCAACAGAGTAAATCAAGGAAAAGGAAATTGAAGGTAAATGGACTAAAAAGGAAGAGATAACATTGTCATTATGCACAAGTAATACGATTTCTTGATGTAAAAAATCCTTGAAAATGTCCATATGGACTATTAGAATTAGGAAAGATTTTAGCAACTATGCTAGATACAGCCACCATACAAATGCAGACTCATGTGTCATCATTAATATTGTCCATGTTTAGAAGGACACATCATGTCACATTGTTAAAACAGGCCTGGAAGTCAAAAGATAGTAGATACGAAATTTACTATTATTTACATACTAACATGGACAGTCTATTAAACCAAAATGTTTCTGGGAAAAAATGTTAATACATATGTGTATAATTTCTAAAGGCCATTCGAGAACATTCCAGAATGTCAAGAATGACTGAGTAGGCAGTAGAGTCTTCTGATATGGCTTTGAACTTTCATCTCTGTAATTGTCTGTTCTATGAAATTTCTACAATAGGCATGTACTACTTATAATTAGGGGGAAAATGCTTTAAAAAATAAAACTAAAAAGAAGCATTGGGGCCAAGTCCGTCCAGCATCTCTGTCTTACCTTCCACCTCCCTGAGGAGGTATGCTAACTAGCCTGAGAGTTCTTGCCAGTCCAAACTGCTTTCTGCCTCCTTAATTCCATCTTATTTCAATTCTCATTTGAAAAAAATATTTTTCTCCATTTCTTCTTAGTGTGTGCCTTAATTTCTCTGGCTCTGTATCCTCTAACTATATCATCAAATCATGTGATGTTTTGGCCCAGTAGAACCTAGATTATAATAATACCTTTATTTAAACATACAGTATCTCACACTGCCACAGCCCTTGGCAGATAGCATGGCAGAGACACTGTAAGCAAGACCTGACTTTAACACACAGTGTAGGCAGGTGCTGAGAGATGGGACAGTGTCATAGGGTCTAAAATTCCATCATTAAAACTTTTACATTGATCATTGCCATCTCTGCATTCCTCTTTAAAAGTTTGATTCTGCTGGAAGGAATTAAACATCAAATAATTCTCCTGTTTAAAATCTGCCTCATAGTGGAAAGGAGTGGAGGAGGTATACAAAGGAAAAACAGTTTTATATAGTCCAAATTTGGACTAGGCCTGCCTTACAGTGAATTCCCAGCTCTTCTTGTGGCAAGGAAGGATCCTGAGGAGATCAGAAAGGAGATTGGCTCACCCAAGCGGACTTGTTTCATGATATGCTGGTGTTACTTTCTACTAAGAAAGACTTTTTCAGATTATTCTGCCAGAGTGTGCTGTAGAAACTATTACAATCCAAGTTTTCAGAATTTGGACAAATCCTTTTAGTCTTACATCCAAGTACTTGGCTCATGAAAGTGAGTGAGAAAACCCACCAGGAAGCCTCTTTTGATAGACAGAAGTTGCCAGGGTAGGGAGGCTTCTCTGCCTACCCCTCACCCCAGAGCAGGGGCCCACGCTGAGAGCAACAGCAGGACCAGCTCAGTGCCCCCTGCCCGGCCAGCAGCTTTAGAAGAGTCTGGGCTGTGCCCAGGGCAGCTCCCTGATGAGATTCCAGCTCTAGCCTCTCACTCAAAACCCTGCAACCTGGTCCAACACAGTCACTTCCTTGTCCTGTTCAGATTGGTGTTTAGGTTTATTAGTTTAGAGATTCCCATAAAATAGGTAGAGAGAAGACTGGGAAACCTAGAAATGCCAAGTAAAACCTGGGCATCCGAAATGATCTAATTCGTTTTCCAAGCCCCACAGGAAGTTTAAAAGAGTTGGCAGTTTAGTCAGGCATACAGCCATTCCATCAGTAAACAACAATGGAGCACCACCCCATGTATAAGGCCACTGCTAGGCCTTGGGGTTGCGGATGGATATAGCATAATCTCTGTTCCAAGAACTTAGCAGCTGGATGGCAGGGATATAATAACAGGCAAATAACCATGAAACAAAGCATTATAAGAGAAGTATCATGAGAAAGTTCTAAACCAATTTTGGGGCCAAGAGGTAGGGTTAGGCAGATGGGTTGGAGTCCTGGATCCAACAGTTTCTAGCTGTGTGACTTTGGACATGGCCAAACATTTACTGACCATGTTCTGTATGCCAGACATGGCAGAAAGCACTCTACTCTGCATGATCTTGTTTTACCTTTTTAATAACCATAGGAAGTACTATCTCCTTTTCATAGAGTGGGAAACAGAATTCAAAGCAAACACTGAGTTTGCAGTACAAGATGTTTGCTAGGGATCAGCACCTGTGAAAAAAAGGAGGGCGGAGGAAGACTGGGCAGAGGAAGAAGCTGAACTTTGATGAAGACCAAACAAAGCCTTGACCTCTTTGGAGCATGGGAAGTGCCTGATGGAATGAATGTTCCACTTTGGGCTAAAATGGCTGGGCATTTACGTGGATGCAGGCTGCCCTGAGAAAGACGTAACCTCTAGCAAGGCAGTTCTCTGCAGTGGAGGAAGACCCTAAAGGAGTTCACAGCTTGAGGTCATTTGCTGGCTGCACCCCTACGGCTGGTAAACAAAACCTGAGTGACATCACTCTGTGTCTACCACAGGATCCTCCCATGCTAAACTTAGAAGGATGAGAAACAACTTTTGCAAAGTACTTGGCTCGAATTAGCTGCTCAATAAATTGTAGCTTTTGTTATTCAGCACAGAGCCTGGGTAGGAAAAATGTCATGGAAACTCTTGGAGGATGTCTCAAGGAAAACGTCATCCACATTGGTTGGACCTTAAAACAATTTCTCCCCTTCTGTCCATGGCTGTCCATGAATCCATGAGGCTCATGTTAACTACAAGGTGTAACACAGCCACAGAGAGTGATGTGGGAGGCCTGTTTTGTGGCACGATTTTCTGAAAGTAATAGCAGATGGATTTTGTTCGTTTTGTGAGCATTTAGTAGAAATATTTTGTAGTGATAGTGTTTGTGAGCAAATGCCTCGGGTAGGTGGGTGGGTGGATGTCATTTAGCAGCAGGACAGGGAAGAGGTGGTTGCAGCAATCTGGGAGCCCATGGAAGCTGAGCTCTGCAGGAGCCAAGGCAGAGAGGGGCCTGTGTGGACTTCATGGTCAAGTTGAGAGGCACAGTGATGGAACTGTGGTTATAAGACAACCTACGCTTTCCAATTACTCACAGCTAGATCTGTTCCTAAAATATAAAAATGACAACTGAGACAATGAGAAACAGGCCTTTGGAACATGTATCCCAACCCACATCCTGACTGCTTAATGCCATTGATCCTATCAGTTCAATGGAGGCTAAGTACCTGATGTGTATAACATTTGGAGAAAATTGTTTATCCTCCTATTCTTTTTAATTAGGAAAACATGAGAGTCAAATGTTTTACTATTTCATGTTCTTTTCTGCATGTTTGTAAAGCACTCCATAGTCTTTGAAGCATTTTCACATTTGTGGCCTCTAGGCTTCTCAGCTTCTCTCTCCTTATGGCCTCTGTTATGAATACCCAGTTCCTCTGTGTTGCTGGATCCTACTATTTGTCCAAACAACTTTTGAACTTGGTGCTTGCAAATTCAAGGAACAGGTGACCTGTACCCACAGCCTCTACTTCTCCTTCCATCACCTTCTTAACCTCTTGCAGCATGGATCCCACCACCACCCCTCAACAGAAACTACCCTCATTGCAGGTACCACTAGGGTGCTCCTGGACAATCAGTGCTTTTCAGCATGGCCCCTCTGAAGCAGCTGGCATCTCCCAACCCATCCCCTTTTAGAACTCTGTCTGATTTTCTTATAACACTAAGCATTGCCAATACATTTAAAATTGAGCACTTGTTTCTTCCAGTTACTAATGGTTGCTTGGAGTGTTACATGGAGAGAAAAATTCAAGTTACATCCAGGACACTGTGATTGATTAATATGCCTGTCACCGGCCTGAAAAAGAGAGAAGTGGCACATGTTCTAGCCATTCACCATCTTATATCACACATATTGATTTCTCTTATTTCTCTTTGGTTTCTCCTCTTTTTTCTCTCTCTCTATTTAGACACTTGATTTCTTCTTGATCCCTAATGGGGTCTAAATTATTGAGAGGACTAAATGAAGTGATATATAGAAAGCTCCTTGAATATGTTGGATACTGAATCAATAGCAAACCAGTATTATCATCCTCAGTTTTCTATTGTCTTTGTAGATTTACTTCATTAGATGTCTGTGTCTTTTATTTATGCAACTTAGCCACTACCTTGGCTCCCAAGTCTACTTTTCTGGCCCCAACGACCATCTACACTTAAAAAAGAAGATAAGGTAGAGAATAAAAAGCAGAAAACTGTGCAAAGGATAAAGCAAAGACAGGAAGTCCTAGCCAGAGCAAGGACTCTGAGCAAGCACTCAGAGAAAGAAAAAAGTTTGATGATATGAGTCCATACCTAGAAATTTCTAAAGACTCTGTCAGAAGCCTCCTGGAACTGATAAACAAATTCAGTAAAGTTTTAGGATACAAAATTAATGTAAAAAAATCAGTATCATTTCTATACATTAATAATGTTCAAGCTGAGAGCCAAATCAAGAATGCAATCCCATTTACGATAGCCATACACATAAAAAAAATACCCAGGAATATATTTAACCAAGGAGATTAAAGATCTCTATGAGAAGAACTACAAAACACTGCTGAAAGAAATCAGAGATGACACAAACAAATGGAAAAATGCTCCATGCTCATGGGTTGGAAGAATCCATATTGTTAAAATGGCCATACTTTTATGGTTGCCCAAAGCAACCTACAGATTCAATGTTATTCCTATCAAACTATCAACATCATTTTTCACAGAACTAGAAAAACTATACCTTCATATGGAACCAAAAAAGAACCTGAATAGCTAAAGCAATCCTAAGCTAAAAGAAAAAAGCTGGAGGCTTTACATTATCCAACTTCCAACTATATTATAAGGCGATAGTAACCAAAACAGCATCATACTGCTACAAAAACCAGTGAAACAGAATAGAGAACCCAGAAATAAAGCCATACACCTATCACCATCTGATCTTTGACAAAGTTGACAGAAATAAGCAATGTGAGAAGGACTCACTATTCAATAAATGGTGCTGGGATAGCTGGCTAGCCATATGCAAAAGAATGAAACCAGACCTCCGCCTTTCACTATATACAAAAAGTAACTCAAGATGGACTAAAGATTCAAATGTGAGACCTCAAACTATAAGAATCCTAGAAGAAAACCTGGGCAACCCCATTTTGGAAATTGGCTTTGGGAAATAATTTAGACTAAGTCGACAAAGAATTAACAAGTGAGACCTAATTAAACTAAAGACAGACAACCCACAGGATGCAAGAAAATATTTGCAAACTATGTGTCCAACAAAGATCTAATATTCAGAATCTATAAGAAACTTAAACAGTTGAACAAACAAAAAACAAAAACCCCATTAAAAAAGGGCAAAAGACATGAGCAGACACTTCTCCAAAGAAGCCATACAGGCAGCCAACAAACATATGAAAAAAAATATTCAGTAGCACTAACAATCAGAGAAGTGTGAATCAAAACCACAAGGACGTATCATTTCACACCAGTCAGAATGGCTGTTATTAAAAAGGCGAAAGAACAACAGACGCTGGTGAGGCTGCAGAGAAGGGGACCACAGACACTGCTGTGGGAAAGCAAATTGGTTCAGCCACTGTGCAAGACAGCTTGAAGATTTTCAAAAAACATAAAATAGAACTACCATTTGACCCAAAAATCTCATTACTAGTTATATATCCAAAAGAAAATAAATCTTCCTTCCAAAAACACACATGCGCTTGTATGTTCATTGCAGCACTTTTCATAATAACAAAGGCATGGAATTAACCTAGGTGTCCATCAATGGTGAATTGGATAAAGAATTGGTACATATACACCATGGAATGCTATGCAGCCATAAAAAGAACAAAATCATGTCCTATACGAATCCTAGAAGAAAACCTAAGAAACCCAATGGGAGCAGCTGAAGGCCACCAACCTAACGCAAGAACAGAAAGCCAGATATTGCATGTTCTCACTTACAAGTAAGAGCTAAACATTGGGTACTCATGAACATAAAGATGGCAAAAATGGATACTGGGGACTACTAGAGGTGGGAGGGAGGGAGAGGAGAAAGGGTTAGAAAACAAACTATTGGGTACTATACTCACTACCTGAGTGATGGGATCAATCATATCCCAAACTTCAGTATCATGCAGTATACCCTTGTAACAAACCTGCACGTGGACCCCTGAATCTAAAATAAAAGTTGGAATTATTTTCTAAAAGGTAAGCAAAAACAAAAAACTATAGAAGGTGAAATTATTTTGTCTTCTAGGAGCCTGTTCGTTTGTTTGTTCTCAACCAAACCAGAAAGCTTCAGAGGAAAGAACGATTTCAGAAAATGTGTTTTGCGTCTTTATGCTCTAGCAGAGGTAGGACTCCCATACCAGAAACACTGACCTCAAAGTGCTCTGACCTCTGGCTCCACAACGTGGCCTCCTGATGACCTCACTGCCTGGCTTCCTCTCCTGTCTCTTGCCTTTTGCTCACCTGCTCTGAGCCTTCTTTGAGTGCCTCTCCAAGGCTAGAAAAGCCAGGCTAGGAAGAGAAACAGAAATGCAGAAGTACTAGTAGATCAAAACAGAGAGAAGAGGGGGGAAATCCGAGGAGGAGAAGCAGCTGCCAACAGTGGAGCCCTCCTCCTCCAAAGCCTCTCTCAGCCTCCACTACCTCACCTGCCTCTGGCCTTTGAGACACCAGATGCCATCCTGGCCGACCCATGGAGGAAGGGCTTTCAGCCCTCAGTGTCTATTTTCTGCCCCACAGGTGAATGTGAAAAAGATGAATTTTGCTTTTTTTATAGGATAGCTGTAATCCCACAGTGTCTCTTTCCTTTAAGCCAGGGGGCATCAGAAAGATTTCTGCTGGCCACAGACATGGCTGTTGCCCTGGCTGTTCTTGATTAGTCAGAGCTCCCAGTGAGAAGGTCCTCAGCTTCACAGGCTCCTAGGTCACCACCTGACTCTCAGAAGAGGAGCCTCCCCTCCACGGTCTTCTCAGGAATCTCAGATTCTAGAAAACAAAAAGAATTCCCTCCTCACAGAAGGCTTACTCATCCCTGCTTCAGTTGGTTTCTAATACCAGTGCTGGGGCTTTTTCATGCTCAAGAGGTTGACTTTTTCACAGAGGACAATTCAACCCTTGTTTGGTTACCTGCAGGGTCTCCCTCCTGGGCCTGAGAGGTGATGGCTAGAGAGTGGCCCAGCCCTGCTGCCTCTTGGTCTCCTGGGGATGGGTCACTCAGGGTAATGGCTCAGCCTCAGGGCTGTAGCTCAGGCAAAAAGTAGCTGCCTCTGTGAGGCCAGGGACTGGGTGTGGATTCTGCAGTATCCCCAGTCTAAGGCTGTCAGCCCCTCATCCCGAATCGGAGCAGAAAACTCTCCCAACCATAAATACATGAGTTGCCTTGTTGCATTAAATTGCATTATAAAGAAATCCATTAGCCACCCTGAGCACTGCTCTCCTCTGGGGCCTTCCTGGCACAAAGATATTTTATCTTTTTAATGAATAAAACATGCTGATTTCCTAAAATTAAAAAGTGTGGTGGTAATGGAGAATCCTCAGGAAGGATTCTGAAGCCTGTGCGCTGTGGAGCAGAGGACCAAAAATCCTGGCTGTGGGGCTTCCTGTATCTGCCACTGAGTGATGCTCCTTCCCCAAAGGGCCTTGCCTCTTCCTTCCTGGAGTCCACTGTGCTTCCCTGCCTGTCCCACATGGCAGCCCACCAACGAGGGAACTGCGGTTCACTGAAAAATCACTGACATGAGGCCGACCGAGTAATAAGAGAGAAAGCATCCTAATTCATTCAACGTGTATCCACGGAGGCTTCAAGATGAAGACCCGAAGGCGAGGAGGAGCTATCTGTTTTTATGTTTTAGCTTAACGAAGTGTGGGCAGCCAGGTAGAAGTCTGATTTGACAAAAGGGGGGATGATTTAATGTTAATAGACTGAGTCAGAAAATCCAGCAAGGCCTGTCTGTCTAGATTCTTCTTGGCGTCTCTGAAGCATCGCTTCCTTCTGGGTGTAGGGCAGGGCCTCTCTGGAATGGGGGTCTTGCGACTTACAGTCAAACCAGGTAGGTCAGATACATTCTTTATGGTCAGATTTCACAGATAATATATTTAGATTTTATGGCTGGCTTTGGAAAAGGGGTTCCGGTTTCTGCAACCTGCCTTGGGGAAGAGGGATTCTAGTCTCAATGGCTCGTCTTGGGAGAGAATGGGACTCAGAAGAGGGAAGGAGAAGGCCAGAGAGAAACTTTTGCTTCTGGGGCTGCTGCTGAGACCTTCCTTTTTGGGTTCTGTTTTCTGAGCCCCAACAGAGTCAGGCCCTATGCAGCAGGTGCTTACGAAGTTTCTACAGTCCACATCAGGAGAGATGTGGAAGCACTATGCCCTGACCCTGCCTGTCTCCCCTCTGTTCTTGCCGGCTCTGGCTTCTCCCTCTCTCCCAAAAGTCCCAACTAAGTGTGAACTGTAATGAATAGCCATGGAGACAGGCCAACCCGAAAGCTAAGACCAGTCTCTTACTACGTTCGGAAGACACAGCTCCCAGCTAGATGCCACAGCCATTTTCCCAGAAGTGTAGAGAGACAACTAAACCTGGCTGTCAATGCTTTGCCCTTGGAAAAGCTAGAAACACGTGCTGGGAAAATAAAAAAGGGTTGGAGTTTTAGGAAAAAGAAAATGAAGTGCACAAAGCTGTGTACCTTTTGCCCTCCCTCCCCACCTCCTAGCTTTTTGCCGGGGGTGGGAAAAGCAGGGAAGGAGCTCTGTGCAGCGTGTGGAGCTTGAGCGAGGCCAGCTACATCATTTGCAGGACATAGTGCAATGAAATGTAAGGCTTCTTGTTCAGAAAGCAAGGCAAAGTGCTAAAATTCAAAGCTTTTCACTTTCTTCTGCAGTCTTTCTCTCTCTCAACTTGTCATGGAGTTTTTATTTGCTACTTAATGTTGTTCTGAGTAAAGAAAAATTAGAATGTAAAATTATTAGCCCGAATTTTACCATTCTACTTTAAATTGTGCAATGCCAGCTTTAAATGCAAATTTAAAAGCATTTAACTCATATGCAGAAGCCCGGGCATTACACAATTCGTATTTCATAGCTTGTACATACATACACATTCTGTCCTTTCCAGAACAGGGGAGATGCTGTCTTTATCTCCCTTTGTGACATTTGCACATTCTACTGACATTCTCTACCTTTGGCTTACTGATGAGTTAAGGAAGGACTGAAGACAAAAGAAACTATGGGTTGCGCTCTCTTTCTCTTTCTGTGTCACCATTTTCACTTAAGTGGTTGGTCAATACAAGGAATTAATTCAAATGCTATGTGCAAATGAGAGAGGAAGAAATGGCGACATGCATTTTGCACACCTTCCTCTGCTCAGGTGCGTGCACTATTTCACAAAAGACAAGTGCAAAGATAAAATGATTGTGAATTTCAAGATGGTGACTGTAGACAATTAAGCCAAGCACCAGACCTTCTGAGCATCAGAAAAGATGCCCGATGTGCCATCTGGCCTCTGGCTGCAGCTTGCGAGGGGAAGCGCCCAAGACCCACCCCACACATAGGATCAACAGCTGGCTGCCCTTGGTTGTGATGGGCCCTACCTTAAAAGTGGCTTGGAGGGGACCAACGGGGCTTTCAGCATTCGGAAAGAGGCCCACATAAGCAGGGACGTTGACATCCCAGTTTGAATAGGCTGCCTGGAAGGGTGAGGAAAGGAGCATCCACGGGTGGCCTGTGACCCATCTGTCTCTCTCTGAAGACTTACACTGACCACAGACAGAGCTTGGAAGGACATGGGGATTGAACTTGACTGGAAGTCACTAGATTGAACTGAATTACCCAAACATCACTGTTTGACATTGTCTGCTTGGTAGGTCTCCCAATCAGATATTAAAATCAGTTCTACAAAGAAAGCTTTATTGCCACACACTTCTGTTTTGTGGATTGTTGTAATTTGCGAATTCTTCATCCTTGTGATTATCAGTTGAGCATTACTGTGTTGCCAAGAACTATTTTAAACACTAGATACACACTTATCATCACATTAAAGAAGTCCCGTAGCACCCCGAAATTTTTCTTCAAAGCACTTCCTGATTTTGTCATCGTACATGTATTTGGATGATTATTTTGACTAATGTCTGTCATAGCTAGACTGAGCTGCCTGAGGGCAGGGACCATATGAGCAGCCAGTCTTCCCCAGCAGCTTGCTAAATGCTGCATCGATGGTGGTGCCAACATGTACAATTGTCTAGGCCATGTGGTACGCCAGAGCAACGCATCTAAAGAGGTGGTCTTTGCATTGAAGACACTGTAGATTGAAGTTCGTATGATGACAGCTTTCTGGCAGGTGGCAGTAAAGCGTCTTATTCTAACATATTCAATATAGTATGACAATTTCCAAACAAACAGAAGTAAAATGTCTTGAGCAAGGGGTGCATTTTCTAAGTTTCACAAAGACGCTATTTAGACTAGTGCAGCATGCCTGATTGGCTAATCAATCGGTGCCTCAAAACATCTCACACCACCCTAAGTGACTGGCTGCTCTGTCCAATTAAGATGTTGCTACTAAAACCAAAAAAGTTTTATATATATATATCTATGTATATGTATATATACATATATAATGTAATATATATAAAGTTATTTATGTATCTATATTTATATATATAATGCAATATATATGTGGTTTTGTGATATATACATTTATGGAGGAAATGTGATATGTAGACACACACATACATATAAATTCCTTCATAAATACAAAAAGAACAGGCCACCCTGCATCAGCCATTTGGCTGCTTTCAAATACTGAAGACTCAGAGGAGTATTTGATTTGCTTCGAGTTGAAATATAACTACATGGGCTCTCTCTGCTCTCTCTCTCTCTCTCTCTCTCTCTCTCTCTCTCTCTCCCCCCCCCTTCTCTCCTCTAATAAATAAGGAAAAAAGAAAGTCTTTTCTCACCAGTTCTAACAACTGGCCTTACAGATGGGATTCATGCCCCAAAATGAATAAATTCCAGGGTGGCAACATGCAGATTAATTAGGCAGGAAATCATCTCCCTGCAGCAGCCCGCTGCGCATTCTCTAACAAGACTAAAAATGATTTGCGCCACCTGCTTATGGCTCCAAGCATTTGCCTTGGTCCTTCAATGACTGTATTAAAAACTTTTTGATTAACTTGGCCCAATGGTCAACTTTTTGTTTGTTTATTTCTTTAGAATAAATAAATAGCGGTTCCACATCCTTGTGCCTGGAGAGCCACCTGGGCGATTCAGCAGCAAGTAATTAGGCTTGAAATACCAGGAGTGTAAACGTCAGGTCTGACGTTACCTGCAAGACTCAAAATTTGCCTGATTTATAAAAACTCCATAGCACTGGTGTGTAGAGTTAACTTTCCTTTCCATTTATTTTAAGCTGTCAGGAGTTAGGAAGAAGGTGGCTTTGGTTTTTACAAGGCTGCAATATTTTTCACTGTTAGATGTTCAGAGGTGATTGTGTGTGTGTGTATATACAGACACATTCCCCG